GTTTAAGCCCTGCATCAGGCTCTATGCTGACAGCTCAGAGCCTGGAGACTGCTTTGGATTCTGTGTCTCCTTCCCTCTCTGCCCCTCCCTTGCTCGTGCTCTGTCACTCTCAAAAACAAACATTTTAAAGTGCCTTTGGACTGGAACAAACTATCCTAAAATTTGTATGGAATCACAAAAGACCCCGAATAGCCAAAGTAATATTGAAGAAGAAAACCAAAATGGAAGGCATCACTATCCCAGACTTCAGCCTCTACTACAAAGCTGTCATCATCAAGACAGTATGGTATTGGCACAAAAATAGACACATAGACCAATGGAATAGAATTGAGAACTCAGACCTGGACCCAAAGGTATACAGCCAACTAATCTTTGACAAAGCAGGAAAGAATATCCAATGGAAAAAAGACAGCCTCTTTAACAGATGGTGTTGGGAGAACTGGACAGCAACATGCAGAAGAATGAAACTAGATCAATTTCTCACACCATACACAAAAATAAACTCAAAATGGATAAAGAACCTGAACGTGAGACAGGAAGCCATCAAAACCCTAGAGGAGAAAGCAGGAAACAACCTCCTTGACCTCCACTGCAGCAACTTCTTACTTGACATATTCCCAAAAGCAAGGGAATCAAGAGCAAAAATAAACTATTGGGACCTCATCAAGATTAAAAGCTTCTGCACAGCCAAGGAAACAACCCAGAAAACTAATAGGCAACCAACGGAATGGGAAAAGATAGTTGCAAATGACATATCAGATAAGGGTTAATATCCAGAATCTATAAGGAACTCACCAAACTACACGCCCGAAAAACAAACAACCCAGTGAAGAAATGGGCAGAAGAAATGAACAGACACTTCTCCAAAGAGGACATCCAGATGGCCAACAGACACATGAAATGATGCTCAGCATCCCTCCTCATCAGGGAAATACAAATCAAAACCACACTGAGATACCACCTCACACCAGTCAGAGTGGCTAAAATGAGCAAACCAGAGAACTCGAGATGCTGGTGAGGATGTGGAGAAACAGGCACCCTCCTACACTGTTGGTGGGAATGTAAACTGGTACAGCCCCTCTGGAAAACAGTTTGGAGGTTCCTCAGGAACCTTTGCTACCTGGCTAGGTAGCAAAATATTTCTTTACTATACTTCACTGATTTTTTAAAGTGACTGATTGCTCAGGAAGGTCTCCTTATTTGGTCATAAGTAGATTGATGGTAAGGTCGGGGGGGATGGTGGAATCCAGGAGACCTTTCGAGGTATCCCGTCAAGTAAGGGAGGCTCTCAGGACAGGATGGAGAGAAATGGGGGAGTCAAAAAGGAACTTTTGGGGTTTTTACAGCAGATGGAGATTTAAAAACTAGTTTTTATTATTGTTTGTGTGATAACCTATACTCTATATGCAAGAAAACTCCAGTGGTATCTATGACTTGGTAAAGATTTATGAAATTAGATTTGCTTCGGGAGATTTAGCAAAGTGATAAGCTCTCTATTCTGTTGATCTACTGCTGTTTTACAATCACCTTAAAAATGGTGACTGACAACAGTAACAATTGATCCTCAATCTAGAAGGTGACTGAGCTCGGCTTGGCAGTTCTTACTTGAGGTCTTGCCTGTTTTTATTCACATGGCGGCTGGAGCTGGATGATCCCACGGGCTTTTTCACTCAGCCTTCTGGCACCTGGGCTGAGAAGACTCGAGCATCAAGGAACTGGAATGGATGCGGCAATCTGGGCATCTCTTTCTATCCATGTGGTGGCCTCAGTGTTGCCAGCCTTCATACATGGTGGCTGAAGGCACCTAGATCGAATGCCCCAAGAGAACTATGGCCAAGCAGACCCATTCTCGGAAGTCATCAGAATTGATAGGATCGCTTGCACCAGGCTACATTAATGGGAACAGGCACAAAGGCCCATCCAAGTTCTCAGGAAAGGATGTGGACTCTACCTTTTAATAGAATAGGGGAGTAACAAGATTCTGGAAAAGAACGTGAAATGGAAAACATTTTGTGGCCATTTTTAGGAACTACAACCTGCTATATTGCCTTAAGTTGAACATGGTATTGGCCAATTGCAGAAGCCTTGCAAGGGTAGCCAATCACACCCATAGCACATGAATGACCTCTGCAGTCTCCCATGGGAGAGCCAAAATTTCACTAAATACTTGCAGATTACACTTCCAGTATCACCACATCACTTTTCATGCCCACTAGCATTTTTGCAGCACCTGATATAAGATGTTCTTTTTTAAAAAGAGATTTTTTTTTTTTTTGAGAGAGAGAGCATATGTGGGGTAGGGGGCAGAGAGAGAGGGAGAGAGAGGATCTAAACAGGATCCATGCTCAGTGCATGGAGCCCAACCTGGGGCTTGATCTCTCAACCCTGAGATCATGACCTGAGATGAAATCAAGAATTGGTTGCATAACCAACTGAGCCACCAAGGCACCCCTAATATTTTATTTTTTTGAGCAATCTCTATACCCAATGTGGGGCTCTAAGTCACAGCCCTCAGGTCAAGAGTCACATGCTCTATGACTGAGCCAGCTGGGAGCCCAGATGTAAAATTTTCTAATTTTTAAAAATTTGATGGTTATAAACTGATATGTCTTGGTTATCTTAATTTCTATTTATTTGATTACTAGTGAGGTTGAGCATTGTTCATCATCCATGTTGGCTTTCTCTTCTCAAATTGGTTTTTCATAATTTTTGACAGTTTTTTCTCCTCGGAAGTTTCTTGTATTTTTATTGCTGACATGAGGGAGTCCCTTACATCTAGATGTTAACTCTTGTTGGTTTTAGACATTACAAGTGTTTTGTTCCAGACAGCCAGCATTATTTAACATGTGAACCCAGTCTCTAATTTCTTTTTTTTTTTTTTTAATTTTTTTTTAATGTTTTTTTTTATTTATTTCTAGGAGAGAGAGAGACAGCGTGAGCAGGGGAGGGTCAGAGAGAGAGAGGGAGTGACAGACTGAAACAGGCTCCAGGCTCTGAGCTGGCAGTCAGCACAGAGCCCGACGCGGGGCTCGAACCCACAAACCGCGAGATCATGACCTAAGCGAAAGTCGGACGCTTAACCGACTAAGCCACCCAGGCGCCCCCCCAGTCTCTAATTTCTGCAGGATAATACTTTGAAATGTACAGACAGGGTTAGCTGACTCAGGTGAGGATAAATTTTGTAACAAAGCTTACCTCCCTCTTCTGTAAACTTAATATAGCATCTGTAATTCAGGTACTTGGAAGTCCTGGCAGGAAATAATGAACATGTTACAATGTGTATGTATATATTTCTCTCTATAAGATGGAAACATTTCTGCAGATAGTGTGCAAATCAAATTTTTTTCACTGGAAGCAATTAATTATGCATTCACATCTTTGTGGCACTGTGCAACTCATACCCCAAACAGGACAGTCTGAGTTCCAAAAAGACACCCATTTTGCAAATTTAGGGAAAGTAAATAATAACTCCCTAGTCATTTGTTTCCATGGTCTGGGATTTCGCTTTGGTTGTTGATATATAGAAAGACTTTGAAGCCTTTTCCAGTATTGCAGACCATTTTCCACCCAAAATCATTTTCTTCTTTCCAGTTAGAAAGACACCAATATGTACAGAGGAGACTATGTAGCTGTCTCTCAAAAATATAAATCATTTCAGGGCAAGAAGTAGTAAAATTAAGTCCATTTTCCCATTTCTATATCAAATGACCAGGAGATGATGCAACAAAAAAAAGCTCTTACTTTCTCAGTGTCTTATGCCATGGTCTTTTATCAAACCCTCATCCACTGGTACCCTATGTCAGTTTCCCAAGAAAACCATAGGCCAGTGGTTCCCAAATTTTGTTCTATATTAGAATCACTGGGGGAGCTTTTAATTTCAAACTCGGGTCACAACCGACACCAGTTAAAGCTGAATGTCTCAAGGTAGCATTTAAAAATGCCCAGGTGATTCCAGCTTTCACCAATGGGTTTGAAAACCATTGCTGTACTTCCCCAGGAGCTCAGGGCTTTCTCAAGACTAATGACACCACGTGGGAATGAAGCTTGCTAGGCCTTGATATTCAAGTGTTCAGTGTTGACAGGGTGAGACTCTTATTACTCTTGCCCTCTTCTATATCCACAATAATCTGTCTGAAACTCATTTCTTCTTTAATAAGATGGGGATAATAGCTCCTTCACAAGTTTGTAGGAAGGACTGACTGCAGATCTGATAAATAGATGACAGTGTGTCTGACACACATCAGGACTCTAATAAATGCTTTGGAAAATCCACACTTGTTTAATGTGGACACATTCAGGACTTGTCTTATGTAACTCTCCCTCTGAAGATAGCTTCTCGTCCTTCCCGATGGCACCCAAGCACACTCTTCACAGGCTCCTCCCTTTTTGCTTTTTTCACTTTGGCCCTCCCCACACTCACCTGGCTCCCTATCAGTTATTGCCAAGAAACAGCTAGACACAAGGACTTTCTCAGATCTATGATCACAAGGATATGTTACCTGTGAGAGCTACAGCAAAAGCAAAAGGTGAGAGGAGCTAGCTTGGTAGGAGAGATTGGAAGAACTGGGAAGAACAGATTAATAGTGCTGAAAACATGTGGAACTGGATGGAATTAGTGTTGAGACAGGAGAAAGGAAGTCATTCAGCAGTAGGAATAAAACAAGCAGGCGTGGGAACTTTTGAGCATCCTTCTACATGTTCCATTCTGTGTTAAGCATTCGGATGGATTCAGGAGAAATAGAAGATCTCCAGGAACTTGCAGAAGCAAAACAAATACAACACAATGGGAATGACCAGAGAACAGTTCAATTCTAAACGCTGAGAGCTGAAATAGACCAAGAGGGCTTGCTTGAGGAACTGTACATCCAGCGGGAACATGAGATTTTAATTAGCAGAGAGAAGGAAGTAAAACATCTCAAGGGTGGGAAAGCAAAGTCAGGGGATGGGGCTGGAGGAATCCGATTATCTTCTGCTATGTCCTGTCTATTCTTACTCTGTAGGGCTTCCAGCAGAAGATGCGAAGGGAATCTCACCCTTGATGATACTAATGGTGATAATTTACCTGATATTTCTGTTCTGGGAAAACGAGCAGAATGAGGAAGGAGAGGCGTACACCATAGAGCAGCTGCATGTGGACTACCCGCAGAGTGACGTTCCTGTAAGGTACTGCAACCACATGGTCTTACAAAGAGTCATCAGGGGACCTGACAATACCTGCAAAATGGACCATGTTTTCATCCACGAGAGGCCTCGAAATATCAACAGTGTTTGCACCTCTCCCAAGATGATGACTTGTCAGAACCATTCTGCCACTTTATGTTTCCAGAGTTTGACAAAGTTCAAAATGACAGTCTGTCAGCTCATTGAAGGCACCAGATACCCTGCCTGCAGGTACCACACTTCCTCCATGGATGGGTTTATTGTTGTCACTTGTGATAACATGGGGCCAGTTACTTTCCAGAGATACATTAAATAAGTTGAGTCTACACTGCCTGAGTCTGAGGGGTACTGGCACTCTCCTCTCTTGCAGACTTCTGTATGGGATACCGGTATTGGTTCCTCTCTCAGGGGTACTGGTACTGGTACCCTACCCAGCCCGCTTTGTGCGAATTGGGTAGCTACTACCAATTCACCTGTCCTTCTGCTCTGGCTAAGCTGGAATCATTTCATTCTGCTTTAATAAAAAAAAAAATTCTTCTGAATTAAATAATAAATTCTGTATGTGTTTTAATTTCTTGTCCCTTTTCTCTGGGGCATGTGTTGAGAGCCAAGAGTGAATCCGAGGCAGAAGTGGGATTAGGATAAAGTGAGCAAGGTGCTCACTTCATGTACACGGTTTAAGGGTGCCAAACATCCCAGTAATCTAGATTTTTAAAAAAACATTAAAAAAATCAAAAGTAATGCAAAAATTCCCTGATGAATAAAATATCTAAGTTTTAAATCAAGACCCAATCTGATAGGATTGGATTTAGGATGACGTCAATTAGGGACTATTTTTTGACATTTTGATATTTATCATCAGAGATTACTTTGGGTTAAATTAATATTTTTTAAGTGTTGTATTAAAATAGTATTTATCTTGATTGCTAGGTATTTTGGTACCCCGTTAAATTTTGTACCTAGAGTGAGTGCCTCCTTTTGTCATACCTGCTCCCAGACTTGATCCTAGGTGTGGAGGCATTTAGAGTCATTGATTAAGGTCTCCTCTAAAGATGGTGTATATAATTCAAGCTGCATCTTTGCCTTACAAGAAGGTGAAAGGAATAGCGGAAGGGTTGCCTCACCAGTCAGAAACCATTTCCCTTAAAGACTGTGGAGAGAAATGAATCAGGATTTCCTAGGAAGGGATTGACCTTTTTTTAAAAAAATTTTTTTTAATGTTTTATTTATTTCTGAGAGACAGAGAGAGAGACAGCGTGAGCAGGGGAGGGTCAGAGAGAGAGGGAGCTACAAAATCTTAAACAGAATCCAGGTTCTGAGCTAGCTGTCAGCACAGAGCCCGACACGGGGCTTGAACCCACGAACCGTGAGATCATGACCTGAGCTGAAGTCGGATGCTTAATTGACTGAGTCACCCAGGCACCTCGGAAGGGATTGACTTTTGCATCCAACAATGGAATAGAGAACTTGCATCCTGCCTCCTAACTCTTTTCCCCTTGTTTATCTTCCCCATGTCCAGCTATGGGCAGGGTGTCTTTTCAGTTAGAGGGTGAGGGGAAAGAATGGAAGAGAAGGAGAGGTTCCTTATTCTGGGGATTTGACTAAGTCCTGTTCTTCTCTGAGCATTAGCCCCCTCACCTGGGAAGTGAGGGGCTTGGACCAGCTAGTCTTTGAGGTTTCCAGGCCTATGACTCCACAATTCCATTTCTCCTTTTGGACAGGAGGGTTAATACTGAGGAATAGTGAGAAATAAGGGGTAATTGGCAGCTAAGTGCCACGTTACGGGGTCACTAATTCTGAGCTGACATTTCGATCCTATGAGAGCCAGAAACACAGTGAGCTGGAGCTGGCACAGGCTATGCACAAGCTTTAGAGGGCCCTTTCTGTTCTCATCTTTTCAGTTGAGAGACTTTATTGCATTATTTATTCAGACTCAGTTCAGGGTCAGATCCAAAAAGGAGGTACACCAGTGCTAGTAGTTAACTCTGTCCTTTGCAAGTGTCAAGTTCTAACTGATTGATTCGATTGATGGAGGGAAGACATCTACACTTGTGAACAAAGAACACTTAGCAGGCTGGGAAGTACACAAGGCTTACTCATTACCCATTTCTCCCTGGGAGTCCCACTGTCACTGTTGTCTTCGTGGAAGTTTGGATGTCACCAAGGAAGCAGAGCTCTCGGATGCTGAGCAGGAACAGGTGGTCCCTGGCAGATGACTTATTGGTGCCTAGTAGCAGCATCATTTCTTAGGTAAAATTTTAAAGTCACTGAAATGTGTCTTTAAGGCCCCTGTTTTTATGTTCTCAATTCTGATTCATTTTCCTGCCCCTCTCCCCAGGCTTTATTGTTCTTTTTTTTTTTTTTCCTTCTCACTATTTTTTCTTCCCTTCTTCTTGTAAACTTCCTCCTTCTAAGTAGACACATGATTTTGCAGGTAAATGCATTCCCATTAAGGTGTTAGTAACAGACTGTCCAGTGGAATCTATTCTCAGAATATTTTCATTCAATAGGGATCAAAACCCAATTCAAATGAATTGTAATGTTTTAGACATTTGTAGTTTGAGAGGGTATTCTTTTTAAATGGGCACCTACCAGCCCCAATCAAACCCAGGTAGCTGTGAATTCTATCTGCTTGAAACAGATATTTCAGAAAAATGACGTCAGTGAAGAATCTCTGCACTGCTCTTCCCTTTTATTTTTATCCTCATTGTCTTTCTGTTTTCCTATTATCACCTCATTACTAATGTTGGCAGTAGAGGATATTTAGGGAAAAATCTAAATCTTTCTTCCCTCCTCCCTTCAATCTGCAGCAAGTCTACATTTAAGCCACACACACACAAACACATCCACTTAATTCCTAATCATCTATCAATAATCTACCTGATTACTGAGGCCTATATGTTCTTAGTACTGGGTCTTTGCTCTAATTTCAAATGCAGAACATTTTTAAATTACATGTAATAAAAATCACAAGTCCATGTGTGGTAATGTCAAATGAGTGGTATAAGAATGGAATGATTATATAGAATTATCGAATCAATATGTTACACACCTGAAACTAATATAAAATTGCATGTCAATTATACTTCAATAATTTTCAAAAAGGAAATGAGCCATAAGTAGATTAGGGAAGTGAACAATAGGGTTGGTAGACTTAACTTGTGTTGCCGCCCAAGTCACAGGGGTTCCCAAGGCCAAATGCACACTTCATTAAGTTATCTGAGCATCCTTGGTTCCTCATTGTCTCCTCCTTCTATCCCATGTGATTCTACCTACCTCTTTCATGCTCCTCCTTCCCTCACTCAGCTTGACCAATAACAGAAACTCTCAGGAAACAAATACGGTTTCACTTCTTGCCCCACAACAAGCTGGGTTCTTTCTCTGTGGGACCCACTTGCCAGAGGAACTGATAAAGAGAAATTCTATGACTGTGAACGGGTGGGGAAAGAAATGAGAGGTGACGAAAATAACACGGTTTGAAGCTGTAGGAGACACAGTAGTAAGGAATGTTGGGTGAGATTATTGTGACCACTATGTAGATGATAGTCCCTCCCAACGAGTTTATAGACAAGGAGAAAAGGGACAGAACTAACTACTTGGTTTGGGACACATTAAACATATTATCTTGTACAATTCTCACATTTCCTTTTTTTTTTCCCCACATGGGGGAAACTGAGCTTAAAGGAGTTAGAGTAAATTATGTATGAGCAGGTAAGTGGGGATTTGGAGCTGGGTCTTCCGATTCCACAGCTGAGTATCTTTTCATGCCATCATCCTTCCATAGAAGGAGCCGGAACTTACATGCAGGAGGCAATGTTAGGAATGACTGTCCTGAGGGAAAGAGAACTATCCCATTAATATTCTCCTTATTTTCTTTTTTTTTTTTAATATTTTTATTTATTTCTAGGAGAGAGAGAGACAGCGTGAGCAGGGGAGGGTCACAGAGAGGGAGACACAGACTCCGAAATAGGCTTCAGGCTCTGAGCTGGCAGCCAGCACAGAGCCCGATGCGGGGCTCGAACCCACGAACCGCGAGATTATGACCCAAGCGAAAGTCGGACGCTTAACCGACTAAGCCACCCAGGTGCCCCAATATTCTCCTTATTTTCATCTTTTACTTTTTTATTTTTACTGCAGAAGAGAGTACCCTAGGTCTGAGATGGAGACCTTCTCTCTGCTGCTCCTCGGTTTGGGGGTGATTCTTGCAGGAACTCCAGAAAGCATAATGGAGATACTTAACGAAGAATTTTCAGGGGGCAGAGATGCAGTATGATGTGGCAAACAGTGACCAAGAAAAACAGACTAGTGAAGTATTAACGAACTTGACTCTGTTATACAAAAATACCAGTGCAAGGATATTCTGTCTTCCTTATTATTGACATTCAGAAGATTACATTATAGCTTCCCCAGAGGAAATGGTCCGGGTAACGGCAAAGAGTACTGCAATGATGTGGTGGTCTGGAGAAAAGTTTCTGAAGTCACGCAGTTTGAGCAATAACTTCATCTGTGGCTTGATGGAAGTGATGCACGGGGTCCCTGAGGCCTCCAGCTGCAAGGGTGGACAGAATCTTGGCACCAGCTGTTCTAGAAGCCCACATCTGGAGACCACTGTGTGCCAGCTTACTACGGGCAAATAATTCCCCGGATACCAACACAACAGTGGTGACTCGTTAAAGAAAACATTGGCAGTGCTGACAGGTCATTCTCTGATGAGCTGGTTGGTTAGTGGCTCTAAGCTGTAAATCCCACAGGGCTTTGAGACTGGAGTCTCGCTAAAGAAAGACATCCTTATTCTCATTATTGTTTATTTCCTTCTAGTATCCATACCTACCTTTTCAGCAATATAGTAAACTCTTGCTTATCTATACTAACTGGAGGAATAAAAAATGCAAAGTTATTAATTCAATTAAAATTTACAACTGATCTTGGAGATACCCTTTCTCCCTCTCTCCCCCGCCACCTCTCACACACACTTTCTCTGAACCAGACTGAATTTCATCCTAGCTCAGCTACAAAGCCAAGAAGCAGAATCCATCCAACCTGACAAAATTAAGAGAAAAAGCCCAAAACAAATATTATTGATAGTTAATTGTACTGCCCCTGAGCCTATTCAGAGAAATAGTGAATGAGCATAGGAGATACTATAATTACTTTTCTTTTCAAATAAATGTGTGCATTGATGCTCAAATGTGAGCACCCACTCATGCAACCAGGTGCCACCTGTCCTCCAGAAGATGCCAGAAGAAAAAGATGCTTTTTCTCCTCGGTCAACAGCTCTGACCCTATGCAATCTCCATTCCTCCATCCTCGTCCCTATCTATGTCACAGGTTGCTACAGATGGAAAAATAAAGCTCTTATTGCAATTTTTACTCAGCATAGGCTTGATTCCCTGGGGCTCTGGGAGAGAGATGCAAGCCCCAGAGGAATAGAGCAGGTGGAAAGATGGGAAATAGGACATCTATGCCAAGTGCTGGGCAGGATTAGTCTTCAATCTCATTTCTGATGTTGTATTGGTTTTTTTCTTTTTCACTATCAATTGCTTATTTGTAAGTCTTATAGTTCAACACTCTACACAAAGTATGGGCAATTCTCTTATCCATTAGTGAGCACTTACGTGTTCCTGGTTCCTCATCTTGCATCCTCCCTCCATCCTGAGACCAGTCTTTTTTAATGTCCTGATTTTAAATAAATAGACATAAAACAAAGTGTTACAGTTTCTTACTGTACATCACTCTTAATATATCAATTTTCCTAACATTTTTCACATTCTGTGCAGCATTTTCATTTTATTAAAACTGCAAAACTCTGGCCATCAACAATCTACAGCATTAGAAGACATATTTTTGTATCTTTCAGCTGGATTTTCCTTTTCAGTATGGTGGCTGCTTAAATAAACAGTCACTATGAGCTTGGCCAAATAGGTGTATAGTTAGCACTCAATTTTCTCTTGGCAGACAGAGGAGAAGGTGATAGAGGGGAAGGCCTGGGACCCAGAGTTTTCTTCTCTGTAGGAGGAGAACCCAGAGTAATGGAGGAGAGGTATGCTCACTGGGTTCCATTCCGGGGATAGTTCTATGTGGCAAGACTGGTGCTACCACCCACTCATCACGCATGGGACAGGCTCTTCAGAGCAGAACTGTCCATCAGGTTTCTTCTTGGTTCAAACTTGGTTCCATTTGAGTCACTTTTTCCCAACAGTATAGTCCTACTGTAGAGCCCAGCTCTGGGTGATGGGCATGTCAGCCCCAGAAGTGAAACTTCAAGCTCTGCCAGAGTTTTTTGGTAATATGTAAGAAAAGGCAAATCCAGTCTCATTCAGAATTTAGTATAGATTTCTTCCTTCACCAGGAGAGAAGAGCAAAGAGCCAGAATAGATACCTCTTTCTAGGCCAGGACCATCCTCTAAAGAGTCTTAATTAAGACCAAATCTTTCCACTTCTCTGAAGGAATCAGGAATAACACCAGGGTGTTATTTAATCATCATACTGTGAAGTCTGAAAGATGTCAAATGTGGAGATGCCATAGAGAGTGGGGAGTCCTAACTACTAGCATTTCCCACCCTCAAAGGCTGTCATTCCTTTGACATAATGTGTATTCCTAACATGATGATGATAAGCAAGGGATTTCAGATTTTAAAGCATTAAATCTTCATAATGTCCCTTTTCTGCTCCCAAACCACAGAGAGCTTTTTTTTTTTCCTTTCTTTCATTTTTCTTGTAGCTTTACACCTAAATTTCTTGGCTTGGCTTCCAAGGCTACTAACACCCCATTCTCATCTCACTGAGCCTGACCCCAGCATGGCCCAGCTTCTGATCCTTTGAGACTGCTGTCTTCACAGCCCCCGAAACTCACCTCCTTGTCTTCACTCCATTGGCAGGCTGGTCCTGATAGGCTTCCTCTTCACGTTCTCATTCTGTCACTTCAGCCTCCTTCAACTGTATCAGCCCCCGCCTGGCTACAAAGGACCAAACAAGCATCTCTTGAACTTGCTAGAAAGATAACTGAAGGTAGATAGGTGTCATTTCTCTGCAGCTGCAGAGAGACATTAGAGGGAATGAAATGAGGAGATAAAAGAGACAGATCCAGTCATAAGGACCACAGAAGGGAGAGTTGGATAGAGAAAGGATTCTGGGAATGTAGTGATAGAGAGGTTTGAGAAAGGGATAAGGGGGTTATTTAGCACAAGAGGAGTGCCCATATTGCCTTTAACCATTCCCTCGTCTTTCCCAACATGAAGGGCACTAAATTCCCTTTAACCAACAATTCTGAAGTGAAACAAGTCCTGGCTCCCAGGGCCTGCAGTGATGCTGAAGTAAGGGGAGCCTTTGTAACATCATAGATAAGTCCTCATATGTTTTACTGCCTCATTGTGCAGTCACTGCCTCACTCCCTCACTGTGCAAACACTTTACATCAGTGTCCTTATCTACATGATGAGGAGATTGGATTAGATCTGGCCTCTCTGACTTGGATAGACATCAGGATCAGTGTACTGGTGTTCTCTGGTTGCCTACCCCAAACCACGCCCTTGGTCTCAAGTCAAAGAGGTACGGTGTGGCATGGAGCTGCCCAGCCAGACTTCTTTTCCCAGGCTCTCTGAGTAGGAATGATGTGTGCCACTTCTATGTCCAGGTCTTGTGACATGGAACTGGCCTCCTCTGATTTTTTTTCCCCAATAGCTAGATACCCAAAATGGACATGGGTGTGACTCAACTTAAGTCCTTTAGATGATAATAGTGTTCTAGATATGTTCTAGGAATGGGCTGAACAGCAAAAGGGAAGGAAGGCATGTGCCTGAAGACCTGTGTGAGGCAGAGGTATCTCGCCAATCTGGACTGCTTAATTCTATGAGACAGAAATCAATATATATATACATTTTTTACATTTTTGTTTATTTAGTTTTGAGAGAGAGAGGGAAAGAAAGAGAATCCCAGCAGGCTCAGCACGGTCAGTTCAGAGCTGGATGCAGAGCTCAGACTTGGGAACCATGAGATCATGACCTGAGCTGAAATCAAAAGTCAGACACTTAACTGACTCAGCCACCCAGGTGCCCCAATATGTATATTTTTAAATCCACTGTGTTTTGTTCCATCAGCCTAGCCTTACCCTAACAAATTTACTAGCTTTAGGAGCTGTTATCAAATATGAATTCCTGGGTCCTGGTCAAGGAGATTTGGGTTCTATAGATCAGGGATAGGACTATAGCATACAGAACTTTTACAAATATAAAACCCATATATATATATGGCTGGCAAAGGATTTCTGTCTTGAATATGTAAAGAGCTCTGTTTATTTAATAAGTTAAAGGTGAGCCTACCTGCAGAAAAATAAGCCAGGACACAGACAGAAAATTAACAAAAGAAGAAATAGTCATTAAACATTTAGAGATCTTTTTTCACTTCTTTTCTAAAGGTAATATAAATAAAAACAGTGTGATATCATTGTTTACCTGCCCAATCAGCAGAAATAACTTTTAAAATAACAGTGGTGGCATAGGTACAGGAAAGGGAACATTCTCGGGCACTCCTCCTGGGAGAGCAAATTAGTACATTTGTTGTCTCTCTGGAAAACAGATAGAACTAAGCCCTATCCTACTTTTCAGACTCTCTTGCACATTGGTTTATTTAGTTCACTGATGACACTCTTCCCTCCTCTCATACATCCTTTAGGTAAGAGACTCAATTCAGTCAATTCTGGCCCTTAGGACTCTGAGTTGGGAATCTCCCTGGGGGCCTGTGGTCCCTGGGGCTTGTCCTACAGATGGTCAAAGAACAGGGCAGGCTTGAAAGCTCCAGGCTGTGCTGCTTGGTTCTCTCTCCTTGCTCTCCCAGTTCAGGCTGGGAACAACATGTTCTTTGGGAACATGGGCTGAGCTCTCAGACCCATCCCATTAAACACGCCTTCTGAGAGCTCTCATGGTCTCTGGAGGGAGGGCCTGTCAGAGAGGAATCAGCAGGAGTAGGGGCATGGGAGTAATGTTGGGAGGCTGATCTCTTGGGAGATGCCCACACAAAGAGTGACCACTTCTGACAATTCCCCACTCCTATCCCTTCCTCATTCTTCATCTGTGTTCTCTTCTCTTGCCCAGATTGTGCCCACAACACAAATCTCCTTTTTTGCACTATGTCATGGTCTCTGGTTTCTAGTTTCCTTTCAGGCTTTGGCCCACTTGACTTTATGTGTTCTTGTCTTTTGTTTGAACTCACCCGTAAGGTGTAGAGTGACAAGTTGGACAGGTTTCTGGAATCAGATCACCCATAAGACTGAGGCCATTATTCAGTCTGTTGTGGTTCAGCCCCTGTGAATCCAGGGCTCATGGAGCATATGGCTCTGAGTTGCCCAGGTGGAAAAGGACAAGAACAGCGTGAACTGATGAACTCACCCTGGGTACACATCGAGCCCTTTTAGTGGGTGCCTCTGCTAGTCTGCTAGCAGCCCCCCAGTTTATTAAATTCCTCCTTGTCTTCCTTTAGAAAACACTGGAATTGCTCAGCTGTCTTTATAAAACTTAAGCTCACTGTAATCATCTTAATAAATGCATCTTTTTGTGCCTAACTGACAGGCAATACGGTCATGGCTGTGAACGCCTCTCAGTGTGTGGCAAATTATATTGATGTAAATTTGTTTTCATCACATTAAAAAATCTGTCCATCCTCTTTTTGTTTGTAGTCTTATTTCTCGTGTCATGCAGTCACCTATCCATAAACTATAAAAGTTGAAAGGCATGTCTGTGTAGGCCCAGACTCATTGAATAGGCATTTGACCTAGGGGAGAGAAATGTAATGAGATTACAGTGACGTAGTCCCTTAAAGGGGCAGAGTAATTAGAGCAGTTAATGAGCAG